ATTTTTATATGGGTCTAGATAAAAAATCTTTCTGTAGAAAACCATGTGGACAAATTTTGAGATAGAGAAAAAAGAGCGTCACATATGCAATAGCTTGTGACAAAGAGATTAGTCAACAACTATCCCAGTCTAAAATTACAATCTTTAAGAGATTAGGCAATAGATCAGGGAGTTTTCGGTGGATCATTTTGTCGTCCAAAATTGCTTTTCAAAGAAATCATGGTTGAGAAGTATCAAGAAGAAATAATTTCCAAAAGCATAATTAGGCCAAGTGTTTGTAAAAGCCAATTGATCACGTGATTATTGTTAAAGTTGTTAGGGTTTTCTAGTCGTTAGGGTAACGTCCTAGTTCTTAGTGTTTGTTGTAAGAATGGATAATAATCCCTATTCTTGAGGGACACCTTTGTTGCATTTTCTGTTTTAGACTTAGTCAAATACCACGATCCTAGGGTTGTTATTTTCTTTTCAGTTTCATTGTAAAGCTATTTAATAGCCACTGCTACGTTTGAATTCAATGAGAAAGTTCTCCTAGCAATTAAGTGTAATATCAAGCTTCCGTTTTGCAAAGTTCTTTGTTGTTCTTTATGGTTTTGATATCTGGTATTAGAGCCCCATCTCGAGACCTGATCAAAAAGTCTGAAACATAGTCACTAGTTCAGCATGAAGGAGTAATGACATGGCAACTTAGAGCAGTTTTGTGCAGCCTGTTATCCGAAAGTTTGATGGACACTATGATCATTGGAGTATACTTATGGAGAATTTCTTACGGTCCAAGGAATATTGGAGTTTGGTCGAAATTGGGATCTCTGCATCTGTAGCAGCAGAAAGGATGGATCTCACTGAGGTACATAAGAAAACAATTGACGATCAAAAGCTGAAAGACCTAAAGGCTAAGAACTACTTGTTCCAAGCTATTGATCGATCCATTTTGGAGACAATCTTGAAGAAGGACACTGCAAAGGATATTTGGGACTCTTTGAAGCAAACAAGGTACAACACGAGTCAAGCGTACCCAGTTGCAAGCTCTTTGCAAAGAGTTTGAAGTGCTTCACATGAAGGTTGGAGAATCGGTGAACGATTACTTAGGAAGAACTCTCATCACAACCAATAAGATGTGAATTCATGGAGAAAACATGGATGACGTGGTGATCATTGAGAAGATTTTGAGATCCATGACTCTAAAGTATAATTATGTTGTCTGCTGTATTAAGGAGATCAGGACGACAAAATGAGCACTTCGGGTTAGAAGCAGTGTTTTGGTCAGCGAAGCAACAATATATATATATATATATATATATGGTTACTCTATCTAGCACAGAAGCAGAGTTTATTTCGGCTATGTTAAGTGCTTGTCAAGCAATGTGGTTGAGGAGAATTTTACAGCAAATAAACATGATCAATGAAAGGCTACAGTGGTGTATTGCAACAATGTTCTGGCAATTAAACTTTCCAAGAATCCAGTGATGCATGGTTATAGTAAACATATAGATGTTTGTTTTCATTTCCTCATTGGTGAGACCATACATCACTAGATTCTTGGAAAGTTTATTGCTAAAACATGTCGCAATACACCACTGTAGCCTTGCATTGATCATGTTTAAGTTGTTGTAAATTTCTCCTCAACCACACTACTTGACAAGTACTTGACGTGGCAAAAATAAACTCTGCTTTTGTGGTAGATAGAGTAACCACATGATGCTTCTTCGATGACTAAGACACTGCTCCTGAGCCCATCATGAACACGAAACCCGAAGTGCACATTATGTTGTCTTGATCTCCTTAATAAAGGACACAACATAATCATACTTTTAAGGCATGGGTCCCAAAATCTTCTTAATGATCACCACGTCATCCATCTTTTCTCCATGAATACTCATCTTATTGGCTGTGATGAGAGTTCTTCCAAAGTTTTTGTTCACCGATTCTCTAACCTTCATATGAAGCACTTCAAACTCTTTGCGAAGAGTTTGCAACTGGGCACGCTGGACTCATGATGTGCCTTGATACTTATGCTTCAAAGAGTCCCAAATATCCTTTGCAGTGTCTTTCTTCAAGATTGTCTCCAAAATTGATCGATCAATAGCTTGGAACAGGTAGTTCTTTGCCTTCAGATCTTCCAGCTTTTGATCGTCAATTGTAGTCTTCTGTACCTTAGTGAGATCCATCCCTTTTGCTGTTTCAGCTGCAAGGATCCCAGTTTCCACCAAGCTCCAATATTCCTTCGATCGTAGGAAATTCTCCATAAGCATGCTCCAGTGATCATAGTGTCCACCAAACTTTCGGATAGCAGGCTACACAAAACTGCTCTCAGTTGCCATGTCGTTACTCCTACACGCTGAACTAGTGACTGTGTTTCAGACTTTTTGATCAGGCCCCGTGATGGGGCTCTAATACCAAATATTAGAACTAGAAAGAACGACAAAGAACTTTGCAAAATGAAAGCTTGATATTGCACTTAATTGCTAGGAGAACTTTCTAATTGAATTCAAACGTAGCAATAAACTATTAAATAGATTTACAATGAAATTGGAAAAGAGATAACAACCCCACGATTAACAACCCTAGGATCATGGTATTTGACTAAGTTTACAACAGAAAATGCAACAAACTTGTCCCTCAAGAATAGGGATTATTAACCATTCTTAAAATAAACCCTAAAAACTAAGAGACCTTACCCTAACAACTTTAACAATTATTTCAAGAAATTTTAGTGTGGTACTAGAATAACTTATCCCATGTCACTAAGTGGACAATGAGTTACACTTAGAATCATGTTAAAATATAGATAAAGATTATTTCATAGTATTTTAGTACTACACAATAATTTTTTAATTATTTCACTTCAAAACAAAACATTCGAGTTTACCAATTGAATTTGATAATCACCATCAACACTTTAAGTAGCAAAGTTGTCATTAATACTCTAGAAATATCGTCAACTTACATATAAAAAAGATGAAAGAGGAATGAGTGTCGAGATTGTAGAATAAGTTTTTGGAGTTATAATATCAATTATGTACAATAATTATTAACTACATTCCTAATAAGTCAATCAAATTTCATGTCAACTTTGCACAAATAACATTTATATATATATATATATATGTACATTGTCTCTAGTCTTTTTTTTTTTAATTTATTATTATTAAGAGGAGGGAGATGGTTTGAAACTATTATAATAATTAAAGTGGAGAGTTTCAAATGGTTAGGACAAAGATAGAAACCCAACATCCTATTTACTAAAATATTAGACCATATGCAAACTTTGTCTTTAGTCTAAGTGTTGTACACAACACAAATTGTCCTTGATATTCTATTATTTGTATTCAACTTAATATTATTAACAATAATTTGGGAGGCCCCATTAGGAGTGTAATTTGTGCAGGTTGGTTGTGTTGGATGGTCAACTCAATTCTAACCCAACCTTCATAATTCAAGTTTAAGTTAGTTTCGGGTTCATGCGGGTTTAGTTAGGTTGATGTTTAATTTGGGTTCATGCTTATTCGGGTTGGGGTTCAACTCGAGTTTGATCAACATTATCAAGTGCAATCTTATAGCACCTTCTTTTGCATGATTTTTCAAATTATGAACCAAACAACGTCAATATTAGTTAAAATTCCATTTACACATCAGCATACACACAAAAGTTAAAGCAAACAACTTGGAGACTATTTCTAATGTTTCAACCATGCAAAATTGAAATTAAATTATAAGAGATATACCAAAGCTTCAACCAAAAGAAATGTAAAACTACCACTATCATTCATTACCCATATGAAAAACAACAAAACTTCAAGTATAATCATTCCAAAACTTATACATAACTATATACTATGAAGTGATATGTGTAATATGTGTGCATAAGCGAATTCAGGCTCAAAATTGAGTTAGGTTTGAGTTGACGTGGGTGGACAAATCATCAATCCAACCCAATAAATGTTTGGTTTGAGGTTGGGTTGGGTTTTGATGGGTTTTTTTCTTCATTCTAACATGCCCAATTGAGTTTAAATTCGGATTAACCCAAATTGGACCCCTAATTATTGATGTAACATAAACCAAACAAATCTGCCTAAATTATAGGGTTAGACTTCTCCACACGCCAAAATGACTTGGTATTTGCCTGCATATGGTCCAACTTGGCCATATCTTCCCCCTAAATGGTGTGTAATTATAAACATCTTTTGTTTATTGGGTTCCCATTAGTTTTTGCAGCCCCAACAAACAATCTGTATAATTAGCACGCCAAATCATGACTTTACTCGTGATTTTAGTGAATTTGCTTGCAGTAGTTTTATGGTTGCGATTTAACTTGCATAATTTACTAATTGTTGGTTTTCAGAAAATGAGTTTAGTTGCCTGTGATTAGTTCTCGAGAGTGACATGAGTATTGCTATCCACTCGTATTTTTTTACATCTTACACTTTTTGAGCATGAGTACTACTATTCATACGTATCTTTTTACGTCTTATATTATTAATTTTTGTCACTTAAACTTGTTTAATTCATTCGAGTTTTTTATTCGATTTAATTCATTCGATTTAATCTCTGAAAATTAAATTAATTGTGTTAAAAGTAAAAATAAATGAGTAAATAGCACACCGTTTAAAGATAGATGAAAAATATGATACACGTTGCTTCTCACGTGCTAATTTCACTCAAATAATATTGTGATTGAGTTATATATTTTTCTTAAAATTTACAAATTAAAATTGCATATGAATTAAAGTGACACTTCGCGGAGACCAAAATCAAACTTTGGTCATTATATTATTTCCGGTCTTCAAGGAAGAGAAGTGAGAGAAGCATCAGGATCCTCTCCTGATCCTTAAAAATTGAGTCTGCTGAGCAGGTAATCGTGATCGTTAAAATTTAATCAAACAATTATAATTATTATAACTTTAGAGGTTTCTTGTTTGTAACCGTTAGATCAAATTTCAACGGTTACAATTGTTTACACAGCGAACTCAGTTTTTGAAGGTCAGGAGAGGACCTGATCCGTGAGAGAAGAAAGAAAGAAAGAAAAAAATAAAAGGAAAAGACTTTCTCTTTTAACAAGCAAAAAAGAAGGCAAAAAAAAGTGAAAGTGGCCATTTTTTTCCATTTGGATTCCTTTCTCTTGGTAACTGGTCGGTCCCATGCCTCTCTGAAGCTCCTCTCTCAGCTCGTTGTAATCTGTGACAAACTTCTCTGCAAAAATTCAAGCCAGAAGTGAAGTGGGTCTCTTTCTCCTTCCTCTTTCACTTGGTTGCTTATGGTGTTTTTTGGCATTTTATGAAGGGGATTGGGTGGGGGCTAATTTGATTTGGCCACGTTTTGGGTAGAGATCTTGTTTAACTTTTTGATGGGTGCTTGTTCTTTTCTGGATTTTTTCTTTTATCTGGTTTCGTACATTGAGAGGAGAGGAAGTACTAATTTTTGTTGTAAACTGAAAAAAAAAAGAAGAGAAAATTGATATATATATATTTTTTTTGGTGAATTAAAGAAACCCAGAATTTGTGTTTGTTTTTTGTGAATTGGGTTTGTTTTAATTTGTTGAAATTGTTGAAATAGGTCCAAATCAGACATTATTACTGTTTGTCTGTTTGTAATTTTTGAATTTTTTGTAATTTAGAATTTAGGTTCTTGGTGGGAAATCTGTCAGCCAAGTGATTTGGGATCACTTGGAAGCGTTCTGGGTTTTTGTTCTCTTTTCCACAATCTCTCTTGTGCTTGAACTTTGAATTTTTAGAGAGAGAAACTTGAACATTGAATTTTTAGAGAGAGAAACTTGAACTCTGAGTTTTTAGAGAGAGAAACCCATCTGGGTAAGTTGGAGATCTGGGATTTGCTTAGAGTCTTATGCCCCATGAGGACTTTCTTTCCCTCTGAGTCTGGTAAAGAACCACAGCTTAGTGCCCACAATCCACAGTCATGGCTCCAGGTGGAAAGAGGGAAGCTTTCCAAGCTGCCATCAAACTCCTCCTCTTCTTCTATGTAAGTCATTCTTCCTTTATGCTTGGGATTCAATAATTGTGGATGATACTTACTTCCCAATTCACAGTTTGGATTTTGATCTTATAATTTGGTGTGGATGTGCAAATTCTGTAGAGAATCTCTTATCAAAGTCCCCGAGCCGCCAATACTCCCGTTCTATAAACCAATTGATTATGTCGAAGTTTTAGCTCAAATTCATGAAGAACTTGAGTTATGTCCTCCGCAGGGACAGTCGAATCTTTACTTGTTACAATTTCAGGTCTTTAGGGGCCTCGGAGAAGTCAAGCTGATGCGAAGAAGCCTTCGTGCAGCTTGGCAGAAAGCTAGCTCCATTCATGAGAAGCTCATATTTGGAGCATGGTTGAAGTATGAGAAGCAAGGGGAAGAGCATATTTCTGACTTGCTTGCCAGTTGTGATAAATGTGCGCAAGAATTTGGGCCGGTGGATATTTTGACTCAGCTTCCTATTGATGCAACTGTGAGTAGTACCAATGAGAATATTTCGATGAATGGGAACGAAATATCAAGAAATGTCAGTTTTAGAATTCAAGATGAGAGGGTAGATTGTGATAGGCAGAAAATATCAAGCCTTTCTGCTCCATTTCATGCCATGCTCAATGGGTGTTTCTCGGAATCATTTCGGGAGGACATAGATTTGTCGGAAAACAATATCAGTGCATCAGGTATGAGGACAATCAATGAGTTCAGTATAACTGGCAGTTTGAATGAAGTCCCTACTCATCTTTTGTTGGAAATATTAGCTTTTGCAAATAAATTTTGTTGCGAAAAGCTTAAAGATGCTTGCGACCGCAAACTTGCATCCCTGGTGTCTACTAGAGAAGATGCGGTAGAACTCATGGAGTATGCTCTTGAAGAGAACTGTCCTGTCCTTGCTGCGTCATGCTTACAAGTTTTCTTAAATAATCTTCCTGATTGTTTGAATGACAACCGAGTCGTGGATATATTCAGGCATGCTGATAGACAACAGAGATCAATCATGGTTGGGCAAGCCTCGTTTTCGCTATATTGTTTATTAAGTGAAGTTTGTATGAACCTTGATCCACAGTCAGATAAAACAGCTTGTTTCCTGGAACGGTTGGTAGAGTTTTCTGAAAATGATAGACAAAGAATGCTGGCATTCCATCAGTTGGGATGCCTGAGGCTCTTGAGAAAAGAGTATGACGAAGCTAAGAGCCTTTTTGAAGAAGCTCTAAATGCAGGCCATATATATTCAGTTGCAGGATTAGCTAGACTGAGTTACATTAAGGGCCATAAACTTTGGTCATATGAAAAGCTGAGCTCTGTAATCGGCGCTGTTACGCCACTTGGATGGATGTATCAGGAGAGGTCCTTGTACTGTGAAGGTGATAAGAGATGGGAAGACCTTGAGAAAGCATCTGAGCTGGATCCAACTCTTACTTACCCTTACATGTATCGTGCGGCTACATTAATGAGAAAACAGAATGTTCAAGCTGCGCTTGCAGAAATTAATCGTGTTCTGGGGTTTAAACTTGCGTTAGAATGCTTGGAACTCCGGTTCTGTTTCTATCTTGCTCTTGAGGACTATAAATCAGCCATTTGTGATGTTCAAGCAATTCTTACTCTCTCCCCGAATTATAGGATGTTTGAGGGACGGGTGGCAGCATCCCAACTTCGGACACTTGTGCGTGAGCATGTAGAAAATTGGACAACGGCAGATTGTTGGCTGCAATTGTATGATCGTTGGTCTTCAGTGGATGATATTGGGTCTCTCTCGGTTATTTACCAGATGCTTGAATCTGATGCAGCAAAAGGCGTTCTGTATTTCAGACAGTCATTGCTTCTTCTCAGGTATGTTTTGATACCAACCTTTTTGGGGATGATGTCAAAATATTTGTCGGTTATTCTGTAGCGGATTTATTCATGTTTAACGGAAAAATTATTTGACTATGTATAATGTGGCGATGCCAAATTCGATGAATCACAATTTAAAGATCCGATTTTTCCATTGAAAATTTTTAAGGTTTTGAAAACCTGCCTTTTGTCCCATGCACTCTTCCCTATGATTCTTTTGGTGGCACTATTTCCTGCTGTTGAAAATGTCAGTAGAAATCTCATGTCTCCACTTGATCAGGTTGAACTGTCCCGAGGCAGCAATGCAAAGTTTACAGTTAGCTCGTCAGCATGCATCCAGCGATCATGAAAAGTTGGTTTATGAGGGGTGGATCTTATACGATACAGGACATTGTGATGAAGGGCTCCAGAAAGCAGAGGAATCCATCAAAATTAAACGATCCTTTGAGGCCTTCTTTTTGAAAGCCTATGCACTGGCAGACTCTAGCCAAGATCAATCCTCTTCATCAACTGTTGTATCTCTCCTCGAAGATGCCTTGAAGTGCCCATCAGACAGGCTGCGTAAAGGTCAAGTACGTATTTTTTAACCAAATCATGGAAATCTTTGTAACCTGAATTGCTGCGGGGATGGACTGCTAGTTTCAGCATGTTCTAACCTTTCTATGGATCCTTCAATTTTTCATTTACCAGGCGCTCAACAACCTTGGAAGTGTTTATGTTGACTGCGGGAAGTTAGACTTGGCAGCTGATTGCTACATAAATGCTCTTAAGATCAGGCATACGCGAGCGCACCAAGGCCTTGCTCGAGTTCATTTTCTCAGAAATGATAAGCCTGCTGCATACGAGGAAATGACCAAACTGATTGAGAAGGCCCGGAACAATGCATCTGCCTATGAGAAGAGGTCCGAATATTGTGATCGCGAACTCACAAAGACTGATCTGGAGATGGTGACCCGCTTAGATCCGCTTCGGGTGTACCCTTACAGATATAGAGCTGCAGGTTTGATTTTTCATTTGTTCTTCAACACTCATACATTATCATCATCAAAGTTTCATTTCAAATTGTATGAAACGGAATTTCGTTTTCTGGATGGGAACAGTGTTAATGGATAGCCACAAAGAAGCAGAGGCCATTGCAGAACTATCAAGGGCAATTGCATTCAAAGCCGACCTCCACCTTCTGCACTTACGGGCGGCATTCCATGAGCACGTTGGAGATGTCATGGGTGCTTTGCGAGACTGTCGAGCGGCTCTCTCCGTCGACCCGAACCATCAAGAGATGCTGGAGCTTCATAGCCGTGTAAACAGCCATGAACCATGAACATAGAAATTGAATCTTGGAAGATGTAACTTTCAAGCTAAAAAGTTGTATCAACCAGCACCTTGCTGTGTACACTAGCAAAGTATACGTGTTTTACCTCCCATGTCATATCACTTATTTTTTAATGGTCAAATTTTGTAATTTATGCGTTTGGCAATATATAATCCATTAATTGCATTGCTACCCATGTTTTTTCTTTTTCTTTGCCGACTGCCATCACCAACTTCTCCAGCGTTCACCAGTTGTGCGATAATACTGAAGACGCAAAAGTGACGGTGTCGTAACTAATGATATAACATAATGGAGATATAATTTCAGTGAAGACACAAATGTGACAGTGTCTTAACCTACGATGCTCTGTATGAGAAGTCAACTCATCGGTACTCCTAAAAGGTATTTTGTTTACTAAACATGTTGTAACTAAACCATCTCAAAATAGATATCGACTGCTCCTTCATTTCTCGCATTAATCATGATAGCTATTCTTACAATTCTGATCAAACTAAATCACATTTACCTATACATCTAAATCATCATTCTTTTACGGTCTTCATAACAAATTTCGCCGGCGAGGCACAGATTCCCTTCAATGATATGCTACTCTTGTACAATCTTTGAAAGCATGTGCAGATTCTGCGTCTGTCAAAATGGTGTTATCAGTCTCGGTTGACCAGACAATTTGACCGGTTTATCAGATCTGCCGTCTGTCTCAAAAGTTCCATACAATAGTGGAAAACATATACATCACGATCGTAGGACACTACACGGAATGGTTGAGGATACTCGAGGAAATAGAGTTTTTGGTAAAACTTTGCTTCCATTAGATATTAATTTATGTTTGTATTTCTTTTTTTAGTTTGTTGACCTTTTTTTTTTTCTTTATAAAACTTGCTCCAATGTTACGCATTGGGACGCAAAAGGCCGCACAGTGGAGCAAGTGGCTTTTGAAGTTTATGGCCTTTTTCCTTCTACAGGTTGTGAGGTCATGATGGGGTGGGACTATGCCAGTCCTCACTCCCAAATATACACCGTGGTTTCATCGGAGTCGCTCACTAGGATTGACGTTGCGGCATCTACGGATTTTGGATCTGAATAGTAAGTATTAAATTATTATGTCTAAAGGTTAAGGTTTTTTTTTTTGGGTGTAGTTAAGGTTTTTTTTTTTTTTTTTTTTGGTGTACTTTGTAATTAATTTTCAAGTTCTATGTCATGCAGTATTGCCATTGATGTCAGCGTTAGCCAGATCGATAATATCGACAGCGGCTATCCTCAGCGTTTATATCAGGCATTCATTATTGTGCATGATTTACTACATCGGGCAACATTATATGATCACGTCATTGAAAGGGACTTATGGGGTAAAATTATTTGTGTATATATATATATATATATAGTAATGAAATGTGAAATGTAATTTTAGTTACTGGAATTGATTTAAATGTTTGTCATCAATTGCAAGGATTCTATTGATGATGAATCAAGTACCACACTATGTATACTGGAGCAAGGATGAACTAAAACACAATGAGTAACTAAAATGGGTGCGGAGTCATTTACTTGCTGCCCCAATATACAAAGTGTGGTACTTGATTCATCCTCAACAGTATCCCAGCAATTGATAACAAACATTTAAATCAATTCCAGTAACTAAAATTACATTTTATTACTATATATATATATATATATGTGTGTGTGTGTGTATACACATACACAAATAATTTTACCCCATAAGTCCCCTCCAGTGGTGTGATCATAGAACACTGCCCGATGTAGTAAATCATGCACAATAGTAAATGCATGATATAAACGTTGAGGATAGCCGCGGTTGACAATGGCAAGGCTGCATGCCATGGAACTCGAAAATTACTTACGAACTACAAAAAAAAACCTTAACCTTTAAACATAATAATTAATACTTACAGATTCAGAGCTCTTAGCTGCCGCAACATCAATCCTAATGAGCGACTCCGATGGAACCACGGTGTATATTTGGGCGCTGGGGATTGGTATAGTCCCACCCCATCACCAAAAACTCGACCTCACAACCTGTAGGAGGAACAAGGCCATAAACTTCAAAAGCCACTTGCTCCACTGTGCGGCTTTCTGCGTTCCAATGCGTAACCTAGGAACAAATTTTATAAAAAAAGAGGCCAACAAACTAAAAAATATATATAAACATAAATTAATATCCAATGAAAGTATAGTTTTACCAAAAACTCTATTTCGTCAAGCATCCTCAACCACTCCTTCTAATGTCACCGTGACGTATATGTTTTCCACTATTGTATCGAACTTCTGACAGACGGTAGATCTGATAAACCGGTCAAATTGCCTAGTTAACCGAGAATCAATCCCGACCAAGATCATATTCTCCCAACCGTAGACCGATACTCGTGCTGCCATGGTATTCACATAAAAGTGACTTGCTACCAAGACAATATAGCAAGCGGAGCATCAATTTTAACCATAAACTAAAAGTTACAAACAAAAAAAAACAGCAAAGAACCCAAAAAAAAGGGATATTCTCGGTAGATTTAACAGCAAAAGAACCAACCGTATTCATGAGTCATACCTTTCTCAGTGCTTCCAAGATAATTTTGGCTACATCATCATCTTTCTTCTTCAGACAAGTAGTGAGATTCTTAATAAGCTCTGGTACAGTTGATCCATGCATAAAAAATTGAGAGATAATCACCGGACCAAGACATTCCTGGATTAACAATCAATTATAAAAAACCTACAAAAACTACAATATAACTCAAGCAGGCATAAATACATTTAGGACTTCCACTTGCTTAATCACGAGCAACTAAACCGAAATGCTCGGATTGCAAAGCACAAACCAACCTAAATTATATAGCTAGTATGAATTCACTCAGAAACGAAAAAATTGCGGTAAAAATGCTTACCCTACAGGCCAGCTGCTTAGCACGGTTACCCTCCAATTCAGGAGGGCTGTTAAAAAAGTACTCTAATAGAGAAGACGGAGATGCTTCAGAGACAGTCACAGTAGTGATGATCGACTGCACTCCAAACAAGTCCTCTTTCAGGGCATTAAACTTTAAGGAAAGCATGACAAATATTAAACTTATTCTCCAAGACATGCTTGAGTAACATGGCCATATACCAATCAAGATGAAGAAGACAAAACATTCTGCACTGATTTACGAAGGCAGCAGAGTCAGTTGACTTATAATCAAATCAGGCAACAGTAACTCGAAAAACAATCCGACAACCAAATTTAAAAGCACCAAAATACACGAGGCTTGTCTAATCAAGTGAAAAATACCAGATGAGCTGACAAAAAACATCAATTACTAGCCTGAAATACTAACCATCGGCCTAAGAAGCTATACAATTCCAGTATAAGTTGACAATTTGATACTAAAACTTCCATTTAGTGTAATCGTACAATTGAGTGATTGACATGGAAGTAATATTTGGCAAGCGAGAGCCTTCCAATTCAACTTGGAGACCATCCCTTTCCCAAGCTTACATATTGGGCAACTGGAGTGTATTGATTTTGCTTGAAGGTCAATCCACCTAGACTACCTCCTTTTTTGTTCACATTCGACGTATACTGTAAACATTTCTTGACCATGACCATTCATACAGATACACATGAAGGCGACTGAGTGATTGCCGGCTAGTGCACATGTATTCCTTGCATGTACTTTCATTACAAATAGACAAAGACGGAGACTAATTAGTAGCTAAAATGGGGAGTTAAATAAGTAGATTGTCTTATACCACTGTATCTCTTTCTACGACCAAGATTAATGAGTGTTCTAATCATTACTGTGACAGCATTTTAATATGGGATCTTATAGTACAGGGTTAGCTACATACTAAAGACATACACACACACCCACCCCCACCCACCCACCCTTTGATATAGGAGAAGCTTTTCGGTTTCAATCAAATTGGCAAATTAAAACATGATATCGAACATAAAAAATTTGCATAGAAAAAGAGGGCTGGAGAACGTAAAGCAATAAAGCGAAAAGGCAGATTTACTAACCAGTTGTTTACCACGTCCTTGCCTATCAAGGGCAGCATAGATAACATGTCTTGCAGCTGGTGGTGAACTTGACAATAGAAACTTTGCTCCTTGAATTGCTAAGATCATCCCAAAAAACCAGGTATAAATATAAACTCTGATGATGATAGGTAGATATTTTCATGTTATAAAAACCATTTGCCAAGCCTAGAGAAGGTACAGGCGTACTTACATGACCGTATTTGACCCAGTGCTTCAAGAGAAGGTTCACATTCGTCTATTTCTTGAGTTCCGGTTGAACTAAGTATCCTGTCTATGGCTGATAATATAGCTTTTACACCTGCAAAATCAAAATTATTATCAAAAGCAATTTGTAACCACCTTTGGCCCTGTTCTTAAAATCGACTCCATTGATTTGTTGCTACAAAATTTATACAACAATATCATGCTGCGCCACTTCTGTCTATAAGACTTTAGGCGATACGGAGTATTCAAAACGAAACAGACAGCAGAAAATGTTGTTTAAGCACCTGATTACAGAACTTAGCAGTTGCAGAAGGGTCGAAAACTCTCTACCATGCTCGATCTCTGACAACTTTATCATTTGAGCACATACAATAAGAACATCTCAATATAAGGTTTTAAGCAAGGAAACGAGACTATCAAAGAAATTTTGAATTTTGAATTGATTGGATTGTAAACAAAAAAATAAGTGAACTTAAGTAGATAGATGCCATTCACTTGGAGATAATACATACAAATTAAAGGCCACATTTCTCTTTGCAACTTTGGAATCGCATTCCTCAATTAGTTTATGCACTCTCATCGACTTTGCAAGCACCAGCACATCCCAGATGGCTCGTCTTCGCCAGCAGAGGAGAGATCATCATTTGAGCTTCAGAAGATTGAGGGACTCTACTCAAATGGAGGAACTCCATAGCTGCTCTATCTGCACTGGTTGCCACCTCTAGGGGGGGAAGGGGTGCAGAGTTTTTCCTTTCATAAATAAAAGTTCGTATGTTACGTTGCGACAACAATAAACGAGAGTTTTATCTTCAAGCCAGCTATCCTTACAAGTCTGATTAGTACATCCAAATTATATTGAATTTCCAGTTTGTAATAGTAATGACACGCCTGCCTTCTTCTCCTTCCTCCACCGGGAAAGCCCCAAAACTTGATGGAGTTGATCCTAAGAAAGCCCCAAAACTTGATTTGAATAAATACTTCAATGAAGAAGCAAACTGAGTAAAGAAGTAATATTAGGGCTATCAAGAGAAGGGATGGAGTTGAAGTTGAGATTATTTAAGGTTTAGGAGTTTAATTAATTTGTTTTTTCTCCTTTTGGTTGTTCCTCTTCTTTTTTTTTTTTTTGGTCGTCGAAGTTTATTGTATTGTTATGTTACTTTTATGATGAAATTTTGTTCTGATATGTGGTAGCTAAGACGAGTTTGTCGTTATGGATAAAGGGTTTTGTTTGCTAACTTATATAAAATGAGCTTCAACATATACACATGGAGTTAATTAAGAGTATTTTAGCATATGTTGAAATTCAAATAGTATTGATACTACTTGGTAGTTGGTAATGTGGAATGGAACTGCTGAGTGCTGATGAAGAGAATGCAACTTCGATTCTCTGTAGGCATGCATCTCAAAAAATATCCTTGACTAAAATTATACTCAAGTCACTTATCAAAGTTTCCAATAAAAAGTGCTGCAGTTTACAAATTACCCACCCAAATAAATCTGAACCAGTAATTCTGTTTTTGCACCCCACAATTCAAACGAAAAAAATACTCAACTTCATAGCATAGTTAAAAAAACAACTCTTTGTATTGAAAGGCTTTGTAGAGTTGTGGATTGCTTGCACTAAAGAGCTCCAGCTGGTTCTACAAAGCAATGATCCGAAAGTGTAATAACAAAATGCAGCAGATAACCGAGCATTACTTGAACTCGTCAAGGCCCAGTGTTCCCTCTGGTCGGCCGAACATTCCTTGGGATGTTCAGTGGACTTGGCCAAACTCTCTAGTTGATTTGCCGAGCCATTTGCATACGCATTCGGTGTTAGTTTTCGAGTAAATTGTAGTAATGGTCTATCACTTTAATCAAAATAGAGCAATAGTCCCTCAATTAAAAATCCATTATCATTGGTCCTTCATCTCATGAAAATGTGTAGCTATAGTCCCTTTCGTCAACTTCGTTAGAATTTTGTCACAATAAGTTGTGTTGGAATGACCATTGTGACAATTGGGGTCCCTCAACTCATCAAAACGTGTAACTATGATCATTTTCGTCAATTTCGTTAGAATTTTGTCAAAATGAGTTATGTTGGAAGGACCGTTACTACAATTGGGTTAAAGTTGATGGATCATTGCTCCAATTGGGTTAAAGTTGAGGGACCAATGATAATGAATTTTTAGTTGAGGGACCATAGCTGCACGTTTTGATGAGTTGAGGGACTAATAGTAATAGATTTTTAGTTGAGAGATCATTGCTCCAATTGAGTTAAAGTTAAAGGATCATTGCTCCAATTTACTCTTAGTTTTCCGAGCATTTCTCAAATATTTAGTTTGTCAATAACGGAAAATCACAATTCAATCTAAAAAATTGTTTGCATACCCTCTTTTGGGTTTCTCCAAATGACTTCTTAGTCATTCATTCTTCAAAATTTTGTATCAGTTCAACAAAATTGAGTGTTGAAGAGAATGAACTTAGGTTCTTGATGGTTTGGAGGCGTGAGTCGTGAGTGTTGTGCGGGGATCACTACACAAAAAGTGAACAATAGTAACAAGGGTTTTGCATGGGTTTGTTGGGTGGCTAGTATTTTGCTTTAAAACAAGGGTAGTGCTATTCACATCTTAATTTTTACTTTTTGCACACACTCTTAATTTTCAGTTGTCGGATCAAATGAATTGAAGAAGATTGATGACAAAAAATTAACATGAGTGCGTAGGAAGTGAAAATAGGTGTGTGAATAGTACCATCCTAAAAGAATTTTTTAAATAGTTTACTCTATTTTTTTTTTTTTCAAGAGAAATGATAGTGATTTTATTCAAACTCAAAAAGTCATACAATCATCTAAGATGGAATCATGGATAATATCCGAGGGCTCCTCAAACTAATGTTCAATCGAATCAAGATACAAAGTAAATTTAGCTAACTATGAGCAACTAAATTAGCAGAAAGTCGGACATGTGAAACATGCGCACCATCAAGAGAATGAACCCACATTTTAATGTCCTCAGTAATGAGACTTAGAGGGGAAGCATCTCGTGCATTCCATGTCACTGCTTGAATCAAGAGGAGAGAGTTACTTTCGTAGAAACTCCACTATCACCGGGTTGGAAATATGATAAAATCGAAGGACCAAAGCCTAAGTAAACCACCAGAGCTGTCTCTAAAAAAATTTGTTATGCTTGAGTACCAAAACCTTTAAATTTCAGTTGAAAACCCTAAGTTATGGGGTCCAGGATCCTACATTGAGGTTCAAACCTTAAGACCAACTCCAATGATGGGCTAAAAGCCAAATTTCCCCATTTATTCCCCTCCCAAACACCACCCAACCCATGCTAAAACATTGGGCTAAAAGCCAAATGCCAAAGCTGGGCCAAATACCCCCCAAATTCCCCACTTGTAAGGCTTTCCCGACAGGGGTGGGCCCCGTTGTCAGCTGTGTGTCGGCCAACATCATCATCCCAACGGCTATAATTTTAATCCAAGGGCTGAGCTTTAAGGACTGTGGTTGATCCAACGGTCCAGATTCAAATTTAATTTTTTTAGAATATGTTATTTTAAAATACATTGAATCCAACGGCTGAGATTGAATATAATCAAATCTAACGATAAAAAAAAAAAAGATCTAACGGCCCAAATTTAAATCCAACGGCTAAAATAAATAAATAAATTATTTAACTCAAAATTCACCCAAAAACTCTATAAATACCTATGTCTTTGTTCAAACATCCACACAAAACTCAATTTTCTCCTACAATTCTTCCAATTTATCTTTCTACCATTTCTTTCCATTTCCAAATTGTTCAACATGGCAAGAGAGCATATTAGAGGTCGTAATTGGACCTATAAGGAAGATGTTGCTTTATGCTTGGCATGGGTTTCTGTTAGCGAAGATGGTGTAGTTGGCACAAATCAAAATAAGAAGGTTTTGTGGGATAAAATCATTGCAAAGTTTCAAGAAAACTGCAATTTAGTTGGCATGGGTTTCTGTGAAAGTTGGAAGGCTTGCTTTGTGAAAAATTTAGTGATTTTTCAATATTTATCAGAATTTAAATATTTTTAGATTAAAATGTTCATAAAATTAATTTACGATAGTCTACATATTTTTTTTTTTTTAATTTAATTTAAGAAAGAAATAGTCTAAGTTCATTCTTTAATAATTCTAGTCTAAAATTTTAGGCCAAAAAGGTTGGAGCAGAAAAACTGTTTCTGGGCTAAAAACTAAATTTTTCGGACGTACTTACATTTAACGCTTTGATTCTCTTGATACTTGTCCCCTACTTGCAAAGCCAAATGTAATAACAACCCTAGATTCCTAATTATATATATTTGCATGATCTTCCTATGATCTTTTCGAAGTAACACGTATACTATGATGAGGCAATCACTACTAGAAATATGCTCATTACACACCATTTTTTGCCCACCCTTTGCAATTGGTGGCGATGGATATAAAGTTGCTACTCTTACTATTTTTTGGTGGCTAAACAGTGGGATTCCACTGATATCAGTGGCCTTAAAAATCAGCCACCAATATTGGTATCAGTTAGCTAACTTTATTTCTTAAATTTACTTTTCTTCTACTTTTTTATTTCATTATTATTTT